CTAGGAGAGGGAGAAGGCAACGGACTGGATGATCTTAAAGGTCTTTTCCAACCTAAACGATTCTATGATTCTGTGACTGTGGTGGGCAGCAGTTGAGAGTGCTGTGAGCATCACGGGCGAGCTGGGAGGCAGCTCCTGGGCTGTAGGCGTGGACCAGATACCGGCAGCTGAGTCTGCTGCTGAAGCTCGTCTGTAAGAAAAATTAGAAATACCTCACTCGAGTCTGTTCTGACTCATTTGAGTATGTATGAATTTTTAGCCACCAAAACAGCTCCAGCCTATATTTTGGATAGTGCCCGGCATGCTGAGGTCCTGGTTGACCTGTGGTGTTTGTAGGGTGGGAAAAATTATATTAGTATTAATTCTGCCAGACGGTGAGAGACACTGGTTTGCAGGGATTCTACGTTGCTGTTGTTGGTCAGCTGCTGCAAAGCAGCATTGATGTCATAACAGGATGGCAAATACATCAGAAACAGGGAAGGATTTATCTTCCATGAGGTGTTTTCTGACAAAACCTTCTTTCCATGTGGAAAATAACGTTGCTCGGGAATATGACTTGACTTCAAATGCTGTCATATTGGAGAGACTAAAGAAAGTCATTGTAGGCGCTAACTGCAGGCTCGTGTAAGCAAGATGAACGTAATTGGGTATTTATTGAAAGTGTGGTCACTGCCACTCTTCCTGGGTGCTTTTCTCAGCCTGTCAGATGTCATTCAAAGTCCCAGGCTTATTTTTAGATGTGCCTGAGTACTGAGAGCAGTTGCAAGGCTGAGAATTGTCAAACGAGTTTATTTAGAAAGATGCCCAGCGTTGGTTTTGATGGCAGGTGTGAGTCCATGTCCCTTAAACTGATATGAAAACGTCAGCCTGCCTGCTTTGTGAGAAACATGATTGCTTCCTCTCTATTCTGTAGAGAACAGCTAAAAAGAGAATATGAAAGTCCGCAGCACATCAGAGGTTTAGATACATCCTTCATTAATTTGTCAAGTTTTACTGCTTTTTTTTGTAGCGTTGCCTTAAGAGAACAAAACAGAAGGTATATCAGTATAATATTTTTTTTTTCCCTCCTTTCTCCCTGAACTTTCTTCAGGAAGAGGAGACGGAATGGCAATGAAGATGATGGTCATGTTCCCCAGACGAAACGTAGTACCAGGAATACTGTCCTTCAGGACTCTTGGGACACTGAGGTGAGAGCCTTCTCGGGCATTCAGTTTCCTTTAATGCTGAATTTAAGTACCGGTTGGAATATTCTGTGAAATTTTATTCATGGAGAGTAGTTAGTGAAAACACTTTTTTTCGCTTTGTGTATGAGGTCACGAGGCTTGACTCTGTTACGTACGTCAGAGATTGAAATCTGTAAAAAGTGGTTTGGAAATCAGCATGTTTTCCAGTGAACCTGGTGATCTTTGGCCTGAATATTTCTGTTCGTATACTTCAAATACTGATGTGTAGCACCCAAATGAAGGTACAAGAAAAGCATTTGCTGCCACTTCCAATTTTGCTGTCTGAAATGAGGTGTAACGTATCCAGAACTGAGGAGAAGACTAGGGTGGATTACAAGTGCATGTGGTCACTTTGCCTGGCCATCTACTCTTCCAGCTTCGCATTTACTTACAGCAACGTGATTCTTTGTGGTAGAAAGTCAAAAAGCATTCCAACTAGTACGATACACAAAGTGCCTGTTGCAAGCAGTAGTGCTTATCTGATGTTTAAAAAATGTTCTGATAGAGCTCGTCAATTTAAGCAAGACTCGCTCGTTCGCAGCTAAAACACTTGAACTCAAACTGTTGGGTCGCTGCTCATGTTTGCCGTGATCTTTTGCTGGACGTGGGATAAACTGTCTCTTATTCTCTCATCGCTCCCATGACAGGTGTTCTAGGGTGGTGCAATTTGCTAGCTATGAGATTTCTTTTTTTAAAAAATGCTGATTTCCAAGCTGCTGCCAGATTTCCTGAATTGTTGCCTGTATTAATCATCTGAAAATTCACTGTATGCATTTCTAATTAGCAATGTAGTTCTGCTGCAAAATGTTCATGGAAAAGAGCGTGCAGAGCAGAGGCTCCCTCCTGGTTTGTGTCCTTGGAAGTTAATGAAATGGATTTCTTTTAAGGTTTTTGAAATAGCCTTCTGGTTTTTTGTACAGCCCTCTCACTCCGAAGATTGGCTGTAATGAGTAATTACGAACTATTGCAGTTATAGTGAAGTATTAACTGTACTGTGACTGCGGAAGATGTTTTGTGCTATGTAACTTTGAGCACCATCTCTTTTATTGTATGGTAATGGCTTCAAATGTATACTTATATTTAGATTGATACAAAGCTCTGTATCCCTTTGTTCCTTGTGAGGGAGACTTTTAACTGGTACACCTTTACATGTAGCTGATGCGATAGTCAGAGATATTGTACAGAAAACGCTCTAACAGCTGAGATGTTCATCACTAAAGAATTCGCTGCGATGAAAAATGTTCCTGGTTCCTGTATTGTCAGAAGTTAAGACCTGCTGGGATGAAGTAGTGTTTGCTTCTCGGGTATAACGGGTAGAACCATAAATAGTTGCTTGCCATCTGACACTGAATCACTTGTCCAACAGGTTAAACACCTCTTCGTTTGTAGAGTAGTTAATGGCTAAACGAGCTTTGTGGCGGGAGGAGGAAGAATTTAGTGTGGAACGAGGGATTGAAGTAGGAGTAATGAAATTAAGAATATCAGGAAAAACCTTCATGGTGAGTGGCAGAAGCACCTTTGCTTGTCATATAAACACTTGGCGTTTGACTGGGCAAAGCCGCTAAAATGCAGACATGGAAATAGCCTTGTAGTAGCCACACAAGAGTGGATGACCTTAACTCTGTCCTTAATGGCTGTTTTGTTTGGGGTGCCTGCAAGTGAACAGCATGGGCATGAACTGCCTGCCCCGCCACCAGCGAAATCAGCGCAGAGTTCAATTGCTGAAGCTAACATTAAGACTCCTGCTTCATGCATGCACTTGTGTTGTAAAAGTATGTTTTTAACACATTAAACCCTGACGCGCAGGCGAGGAGAATCTCTTACTCTTGGCGCCGAAGTGGAGGAGCGCACCTGCTGGACACAGTTTTACAAAAATCAAGGTTGCCTTTCTCGAGGGAACAAAATCCACAATGTCGTCTACTGATGAATAGAGCCTTTTTTTTCTTGCTTGTTTTCTTGTAATGTTGGGTCACTGAATTGAGCATGTCCAGAAATTCAAGCCATGAGATTAAATCAGTATTATTTGAATTTTTGTTTAAGGACTTCCTGTGCCAAATGGAGAAATTCTTGTGCTTATAGTGCACAAGTGCTTCCGATTGATATCACTTTGAAATTCTTGGCCATTTGTAATACTTTTATTTAGTTTCCTGATACTTTGCCATTTGCAAAGGCAGCTCTTGCTGGTCACAAATCCTCACGAGCTTTAGGATATTGAACTAGGAGAGGAGGTGTGTGTGTGTGAGAGCAATTTTTAACTTCAAAGAGTACGTGAGGAGAGAATTGCTTTTCATCTGAGGGCATATACGCACATCTGCCTTTTGTGAAACACCAGCTAAAGTACTGATTCCTTTTGCCTTCCTTCAGTTGAAAGTTGGCTGTTTTCTCTTACAGAGTGTGGTTTGCTTGAGACCATAACCTCTGTATGAAAATCAGGCAGCCGTATTAGTAAACCTGTATTTGGCTTTTGTCAGATCTCGTTCCATTTTTTTTTTTTTTTTGGTCTTACTCTCCATAGCTGACAGCAATATGTTTAAGATGAAGGGAGATTTTTTTCCCCTCAGAGGCAGGTCAAACGTGGGCTGTTTTGTGATGTTGTCCCTCAGTCCCTCACTTTGAATCCTAGCATGAGCTAGATTTGATGCGAAAGGATATCGCTGTTTTTTCCCACTAGATTGTCCTTTCATCCAGGGTAGACAGCATCCTTGACTCCGACAGGAGGGAAATAGATTCGCTTCACTCTCCGTCAGCACTACTTCTTGGCAAATGGCTATAACGATGTGCAATTCCTGCTCCTCCTGGAACAAACCACTCCCGCACTCCTAGGTGACAGCCTCCCTGAGGATGACCGTAAAGTTCTGCCTTGCAGTCCACGAACGGGCACACGACGAAAACGCTAGGCTAGAGCTACGGCAAACGTTAAACATTAGCGAAGCAGAGCGTTTGCCACCGCATTTCACTTCCTGTTCAGCCTGTCCTTTGTTTACTAGGAGGTTAGCTGTGGTGTTTTCCCTGGTACTCGCTTACAAATTCAGCAAAAGCCCTTCCTACTCCCCTGTCATTGCTGTCCTGTACATGAAGTTAGGCAGAGTTGTAGTGGATCCTCTGAGAGGCCAGCTGCATGCAGCCACTCACGGGAGCGATGAGAATCTGCAATTGTGCTCTGCAGCCTGGGGAATCACCAACGAAAAGCCCTCTGCTCTGATTTTTCCCTGAGAAGGAAGTAAGTCTGCAGTGTTCTGACTAGCTCTTTTCCTTCCTAAGTTTCTTCTGTAAAATCTCATTTCTTGTGGTTCCAATGACAGGACTCCCCAGAGCTTAGAAATACCACTGTTTTATCTGTGGAGATTGCTGACGCACAGCAGCAGTTGCTTCTCTCAAATCAAAGTGTTTGTCTAGCATTGCAGCTATGCCACTCTACACTACTGAGGAAGGGCTGGTCTTAAATTCTAATTAAAACCAGATTACACCTCTGTTAAACTCGTCTTGAAAGTTTTTGAGAGCAGCAGGCTCTGAATGACTGTTTCTTAAGTTCCTCTCACGAATGATTGAGATGCTACGTCACAGATCGGCAGACTAATATATTTAACAGGACATTTGTTTGGAAATTATTTAAAACTTCTATAGCTACTCAGTGTGATGTTAAGAGGGGCTAATGAGTCAGGTGGACCGTGAAGATGTCCTTTTGATACTTAAAGTACTCATAAACTTTCATTGGGCTACTTCCCTTTGCCCTTTCGCTTAAAACTTTGTTTCATTGTGTAGATGCCTGTCATTGCTGACATGATGACTTTAAGGATTCTTTTTTTGTCTAATTGTAGTCCAAATGCGTAACAGAATGTGCACCACAGCCTGGGGAAATGGTAGGTCTTTGACGTGATTTGGGCAATAAAGGGGCTTCACGTGCTAGTGAATTTTTGCATTAGAGAAATGGAAATAAAGAGGGTCTGACAAACCAGATCTGTCAACAGCCTTAGGTGTAGGAAGCACGTCCCAGGACACTATCTCGGTTTTAAAAAAATGAGACACGCGTAAAGTAGTTATTACTAAGAGCTCTAAAATGTTTGTTAAGATGTGAAACTTTAGCAGTAAGTAATACTAGGTTCTCATTTCGATTTTTACCTTGATTTTCAGAAGGTGGCTGTAACGAAAAACAGTAAGGAACACAGACTAAAAGGAAACAAAGTGTCCTGTGCGGTGGGTTTCTCTCCAAGGCTGCTGTGACTTGTTCAGCGTAACAGCATTGCATTTCAATATTTGTGCTTCTATGCAAAACGAGATGGTCTAGCAGGCACCATTTCGTGGCTCCTCTCTGTCCTTCTGGTGTCCTCTCCCTCTCTAGTGTTAGCAGTGTTAGGAAGAGGAGCTGGTTGCTCGTGTAGTTACATCTGCTGCTTCCTCAAGAATGACTTCACGTGCGTTCTGTTGTTCTCTCCTTGCTAGCTGAAGCTAACATGCCAGCACGGGTGCAGCCTGGGGTGCCGTTGTCTTGCTTGCTGTACCGCAACAGAACCGAAGCATTTTTGTTGCTTAGCAAAACAAGGAAGTTTATATGGTTGAATTGCCACGATCGATTGTGGAATCGGTGCCGTGGGGTTTCCAGTCGGCACTGAGACGTGGTCCACCTCAAATACTCATACAGCGCCTTCCTGGGCCTTCCTCACTGCTCGTTGACAGACGTGTGGGGTGCAGTTTGCACCATTCTTCAGATTTACTCCAGAGTGAGGCCTTCTGGATGTGGTGCTGACTGTTAAATTGCTGTGGGCTTCTTTAAATTTGTCTTCCTCTGCTGTGGCCACCAAGCTTTGACTTCCGTGATTTTAGTTTAAAACTCAGAAAAATGTGGGGTTTTTTTTAGCTGTTGTCACTTATGCTGGCTGCTTTTGTGAATTTACTTCTTATGGGATGGCAAAGTAGCCATTCTCTGATTCTTAAACACCTAAACATCTGCAGTGTTGTCCTGAACAGCATATCACACAGTAATGAAATATTTCAGCTGTAACTAATGGAACCTTTCATTAGCAGCCCTTAAAATGGTGTAAACCACACGGTTTTATGTCTTTGAAACACTGAAAACGATGGCTAATGCTCTTCCAATCATTACCATGAAATGTGTTTATCCTAAATGCTGGCAAATGAGCCCTGTCGTCTATGCGACCTAAATCATGAGTTCTCTTCTCTGCATGTGGAAGTCTTCGATGCCTGTCGCTCTTTCACTGTCGTGTCAAGTAAATTGTTACGGAAAACTACCAGTTAATGTTGCCATCCCAGTACTTGATTGGGAGAAGAGTAGTTGTTCTGTATGTCGAGGTGTTCAAAGACTTAAAATGGGTATCGTGTTGCATTTGTCTTTAACAGCCTGTTGCTCTGGATGCTTCAGATCTCATTTTAGAAAGACTGACTTGTAGGAAAATGCTTTGCATGGTGCTTACTTAGAATGTCTGCTAGAACAGAAGCAATAAACTTTTCCTCATGCTCTGCCTGCCTTTACTGACACGCGCAGCTCAGTAGGAATGTTCTTTATTTTCCAATTCTCAGATGAATTCAGCAAACTTCACTAGTGCTAACGTGGGTCATGGGGGCAGAGCTGGTGGGCCTAAAAGCGAAAGATTGAAATCCAATGTGCTAGAGGTCAGCGAACCTCTGGGTGAAGGCTTGCTCATCCCTTCAGCTCTGTGACGCTTCTTGCGTGTTGCCAATACCAGAAGCTATGAATGCAGAGAAAGCACTCGGCAGATTTACGTTAGTCCATCAAGCTGAATGTGAGCCTGCAAATCTGGAAGGGAGGGACTTGCTGTAAAGATTGTTTGCTTAACTGAGGTGTTTCTTTACGGACAGGAGAGAAGACTGTGTGATTTTTGCTGTTAACCTTCTCT